GCCTCTGCCTCCCGAGTGCTGGGATTAAAAGCGTGAGCCACCACCGCCCGGCGATGAGAGAATGTTTTAACTGAACTTGGCTGCTGGTCCTGATGCTAAGCCTTGACCCCTGACCATTTGCCCTGAACCCGCTCCCAGGCCCTGACCTGCCCCGTGGGCCCTGACTCTCACCGTGAGCCCCAGCCCTGAAGGGGAGCCCTAACCTTGATCATATGCTCCTGCACACACAGTGGGTCGCTGTTGCCCAAGATGCTGAGCAGCTCATCGTCTGAGATGAAGAAGAACCTGGGGAAGGCATTTCTCTTGGAGTCCAGGTAGTCGTTTAGGCTCTTCTGGCACTTCTCCAGGCCCTCGCTGATGCCCTGCAGGTCACTGAGGCGGTTCGGAGCCTCACAGCATCGCTTGATCACTGGGTCTTTCAAAGTCTCCCCCATGATCTGGAGAAGGTCAGGGAGACAGGAGAGTGTCACTCCAAGTGGCAGAAATGCAGATATTTACTGTAGCCACTCTTTTGTGCCAAAAGGAAGGGCTAGCCGGGCGTTGGTGGCTCACGCCTTTAATCCCAGCACTTGGGAGGCAGAGGCGGGCAGATCTCTGTGAGTTCGAGACCAGCCTGGTCTCCAGAGTGAGTTTCAGGACAGCCAGGGCTACACAGAGAAACTCTGAGTTGCAAAAAAAAAAAAAAAAAAAAAAAAAAAAAAAAAAAAAGGAAGGGGTCAGACTAGCGGGGAGAATAGAAAGAAATTCTCTAAAAGTCCAACAGTAGGGGAACAGGCCAAAAATGTAGCTGTTTATTGAATGACATGCATAAAAGAGGGCTGACAAGACGGCTCAGCCTGCAAAGGCTTACCACAAAGCCTGATTACCTGAGTGTGATCCCCAGATCCCACATGGTGGAAAGAGGGAAGTGAGTCACTCCACACGGAGTTGCCTTCTCACTTCACACTGGCCTGTGGTGTGTGTGGTGTGTGGGGTGGATGCATGCCCACACACACACACACACACACACACACACACACACACACACGCATGCGCACACACACATACACATATACACATACACACACATGAGCACACGCACACAGTCACACACATGCACGGACACTCACACATGCACACACACATACACATGCATACACACATGCACACACGCACACACACATATGCACTCACACATACTCACACACCACACACACATGCACAACACGCAAATACACTCACACTCACATACACATACACTCACACACACATACACACACCACACACACAAAATTAATTTTAAAAATGTAAAGAAACACATCAAAGATATGAACTAAAAAGGGATGGGTATATTGGTGGAAGTGGTCCTATTGTAACCTGCTGTGGCTTTATCTGCATCTATGTGTTTATGTAGGATAAAAGTCCTAGACAGACACATGGCCAACTTTTGTGTAGATCAATAAGCAGAAAACTTTGCTGAGTAAATTAAAGTCATAGCTAATGACCCAGAGCTTTAGAAGCTGCCCCTGCAGGGACCAGTCCACACAGATATGACAGCATCTGGTGACACTGTCCACTACCACACTGATGGGGACACTGTCCATTCTCATGATGATGGGGACACTGTCCACTGTCACACTGATGGGGACACTGTCCACTTCACACTGATGCACACTGTCCACTCTCTCAAACTGATGCAGACACTGCCACACTGATGGGGGGACACCGTCCACTGCCACACTGATGGGGACACTTTCACACTGATACACACTGTCCACTGTCACACTGATGCAGACACTGCCACACTGATGGGGACACTTTCACACTGATACACACTGTCCACTGTCACACTGATGCAGACACTGCCACACTGATGGGGACACTTTCACACTGATTCACACTGTCCACTGTCACACTGATGCAGACACTGTCACACTGATGGGGACACTGTCCACTTCACACTGATGCAGACACTGTCTACTCTCACGCTAGTCACCTACCCTCTTAAATATCCTGTCGATGTTGTCAAACTTCTTGGCCTCCTCTGGCAGCTGGGACCGTATGTCCCCACCGATGAAGATGCTCTCCAGGTACATCCACTTCCTCTGAACCAGCATCCAGATCTGAAAATGCACCATGTCAATGTCACAAGGTAACAAGGCACCCCAGGGATGCAGGCAACCCACCCCCCAACCCACGATTCATCCAGGTCAACTCAATCAATGCAAGGATTAGCAGGCCAAGTGGCACCGTGTGCAGAGATGTGACCACCACCCCTTAGCCCAAAGTGCCCAGACCTCTGGATCTTCACTTTTTCTTTCTGGGATTTTAGTTAACTGTGGCCAACAGAAGTCCAAAACTATAATAGTTCAGCAGATGTGCAGAGAGAGAGAGAGAGCACAGTCACACAGCCCTGAGACACTGTTGTCACAATGCTCTGTGGCTCTGTGGCTCTGTTGTCACTGTGGCTCACTTCTAAGCAGATCAGATTTGTAAATTAGACTTTGCCATAGGTATATGTGTGCCGGGAAACAGTCGTATGAGGTCAGCACTATCTGGGATCTGGGCATTGTCAGGACATCTCAGAACAGATCCCTGAAGAGTTAGGGGTTGCCATGCAGGGATGCAGCATCTCAAAGGGCACAGCTTTACTCAAAAGAAAATAACACTCCCAATACCAGGCCTGGGCAGGGAGGATGTGTCTAGTTACATGCAGAATTTGGAGGTCTGTGATCCACAATGACCAGTGAAGATGCCCCTGTTCACAGAAGCTACACGCCACCTACTCAGCCATTCTGTTTCCAGATACAGACACCAAAGAAATGACTACAGAGAACCAGTGTATCCAGGAACTCTCCTGGTGGCATTTCTATAACTAACACCCAGAAGGTAGGAGCAACATAGATGCCATCAGGTGATGACTGGGTAAACCAAAGGCAGCACAACCATGAACAGAATATTATTTAGCTGTGAAAAGGAGAAAAGCAAGGACAGATGCTACCACATGAATGAGCCTTGTGTGTGATTTCGCACATTTGAAACATGGAGAGTAGACTGGTTTATGGAAATAGAAAGCAGATGTGTGGCTAGCAGGACCTGGGGAAGTGGGAACTGGGGAGTGATTGGCTGGGAGTTTTCTTTTATGGTGTTGAGAAAATTTGGGGACCAAATGGAAGCAGAGTTTGTACAACATAAATGCTTTAATGGCCCCTGGCCTGGGTGTGTATTCTAAAGGGTTAATTTGTTTGGTGAAATGGCCCAGTCTGGAAATTGCCCACTGCTCAAGCACAAAGATGTGTGCTGAGCTCCCAGGTATCCATGTAAAATCCAGGCATGGTGGAGATGCTTCTGTAACCCCAACACTGACGGGGTGGAGACAGGAGGATACCTGGAGCTCACTGGCCAGCTAGTCTAGACAATCAGTGAGCTCCAGGTTCAATGAGAAACCTTGTCTCAAGAAACAAGGTAGAGCCAGGCTTGGTAGCACATGACTTTAGTTCCAGCACCCAGCACCCAGGAGGCAGAGCAGGCAGATCTCTGAGTTCTAGGCCATCCTGGTCTACAGAACAAGTTCTAGGACAGCCAGAGCTATGTAGAGAAATTTGTCTCAAAAAAATCAAAATAAATAAATAAATAAATAAACAAATAAATAGCAAGGTGGAAAGAGGTAGAGAGTGTGATGATGTCAACCTCTGGCCTCCATACACATCTGCACACATGTACTTGTGCACACACATACAAAAACATACAGACAAAAAGATAAAACAAAATGGTCAATTTTATGTTACATAAAAGTGATCTCAATAAAATTGTTTAAATCATAAAGAAGATGGGAGTTAGGGAGATAGCTCAGTGGTACAGAACTTGCCTAGCATACACGAGGTTCAATCCCCTGAAATGCACACACATCACCACCACCACCAACAAAACTATTCCCTATCAGAGAGCTTTCTGAGTCATAGGTAAAAACACAGCAAGTCAAGGGTGTTCAAGCATGACAGGAACATGGACAGGATTGTGTTTCTTTTCCCGAAAACCAGGATATGAATGAGAAAATGTACTTGTCTATGGTCTGGGGAGGAAAAAAAAAAACCAGCCACCCAGAAATAGTGAACTGAGCCTGACTGATCTGGTTTGTTCACAGAAGCCTGGTTCAGCACTGTCCACACAGGCCTGACCCACCACCCCGAATGACAGGCCAGGCTAGGGAGACTGCAAATGCAGGTGCAAAGTGAAGCAAGAATGAGAAGAAAAACTTTAGGGGTGGAGAGGTCTACCTACTCTGCAATAGTCTGGAAAGGGCTTTAACATAGATATGTGTACAGTTTTCAATGTTTAACACATTGATAGAAAAAGCATCTATGCAACAAGAACAGGAGGTATGGAAAAAAGAACAGGGACACTTTAAAAGGCCAAGTAGGAATCTTAGAAATTAAAAATGCATTCCCTGAAATCAGAACTCCTCACTGTCTCCATTGATGTACTCCCCACCCCACCCCCGACCCATGAATAAATCAAGAGCCATGAAGTAGTCATTCATTTCTAAGCACAAATGTCCCCATATAAAATTCCCACAAGACTTAGCAGCACACTTTGTTTGCTTTGCTCTCACCTCAATGACCTCCCCTATCAGAGACAGTGTCTTTTCCCACTTATGGACAGTTTGAAGAAAAGGCCCCACAAATCTGCTCCCGGAGATGCTCTGCAAGTTGACGGTGTTGTCATCCAGGCACTGGATAATTTCGTCCACAGACCCTAAGATGTAGCCTCGCTCCTGCGTGCCTTTATAGTACTTGACCACTGTAAACTTCATGTTCTCCCAGGTGTCTAGGATTTCCTTTACGGCCTGGTTGGAAAAGAAAGAAAGTAGCTGGGCCCACAGACCGAGAGAACATGACCCTGAGCCAGCAGCCTCCTTCCTTAATGTGTCATCCGTCAGCACCTCAGCCCGGTGTCCCAGCTCCATCATCTGAGAAGTTGAGATTCCCCTCAGCAACAGTGTTCCCTGCCTATCAGGCATGCACTCTGCCAGGCAAGTGTGTCTCATGTGGGATCTTATCTGACCCCCAGTCCAAAAAGATTGTTATGTATTGTTAGGCTCAGAGAGGCAGCAGAGCATGCCACATGTGCCACTGAGTGCCAAAACTGGGGTCTCAACTGTGCAGCTCCCTATGTAACAAGAGGGTCCTGCCTGCGCTCCCCACACTGCTGAGCAAGAAAACCCCAGTACAAAATACTAGGCCCATTATGATTCCATTCTCTTAAGAAATCTTCAATGATGTGTGCTCATGTTCATGTCTATATGTAGGTGTGTATAAATATGTGTGATTTAATCCCTAGTGAGACAGCCCCTGGGCATGCCACTGAGGGATTATCTTAATTAGGTTAAGTTTAAAAAAAAAATCCACCCACTATGGATGGCACCATTCCCTAAGCTGGAGACTTGGACTGAATACAAAGGATGCTGAGCACCAGCATCCATCTCTCTCTGCTTCCTGACTGTGGCTGCTGTATGACCAGCTGCCTCACGCTCCTGCTGCTATGACTTTCCTGCTGTAATGGACTGTGTGCCCTCAGACTGTGAACCACAATAAACCCTTCCTTCCTTGAGTTGCTTTTGTAAGGGTGTTTTTCCGCAGCAGTGAGAAATGTAGTTAAGACAATGTCTATACGTATTATATGTATCTATGTTGTGTGTGTGTGTGTGTGTGTGTGTGTGTGTGTGTGTGTATGAGCATGAACACATGTATTGCATGTATGTATAGCATTTATGCATATATGTATGGATGAGTCCACATGTGTCCATGCATCTTTTAGCTTTCTGTATTAGTTGTGCAAAATGTGCTCACGTGGCATCTCCCTGCACTCTCTTTGACCTTGTGCATGTTTCTTAAGTAGCTACATTCAGTAGGATGGTAATAATGACTGTCTTCAAGTGTCCAGGATGTGAGTGATTTGTTTATTTTTAATTTTTCCAAGTGGTATCCAATTCTTCATGAGTAACTAGAATGTGAAACTATAATCAAGGATGATGTCAAAAAAAAGTAAACTGGGGCAGAGGTTCTATTTACTTAGATAAAGAGTCAGTGTGTTTTCTGCTAAATGAAAAGACAGCCTTTGCTTGGAGTAGTGGAGCCTTCATGTGGTTCCAGCACTTGGAGAGTTGAGGCAGAAAGATCATGAGTTCAAGGCCAGCCTCAGCTGCATGGTAAAACCCCATCTCAATGAACCAAAGACCCAAGAGTGAATAAGAGGCAGATTCGCAGCACTGAAATTGAAGGTTCTCCTTCCCTACCTTCTCGATGGCGACCTCCTTGACGGCCGCTGTGACAATTTCATTGAGCACTTCTGTGTGTTTGTGCAGCTCCATGGCAAACATGTTCTCAAGTGTGAAGGTCTCTGTCATCTCGAAGAACACGCCTGTTTTCTCCATGAGTTCTTTCCAGTGTCTGGAAGAGCATAGAGCCATTAACAAACACCACCCCAGCAAATGCAGAGCCAGCTTAATTGTTCCCACTGTTGTCAGAGGAGGAGGCCCCATGGGAGACCTTCCACAGTGATACAGGACAGCCTGGGATTATACTGAGTTCTTCCAAATCCTCCTCCCTACCACCAGAGTTAAAACCAGGAAGCATTCAAGCCCCGCCCTGTGTGTGTCTTCACCACTGCTGAGAAAGAGTAGCCACTAGTTTTTTAAAACTGAGGGGGAACCTGGTATCAGTGGAACCCAAGTGTGTTGGGAAGTATTGCTTCAGCACTGACTCCCCCAAGCATGAGGTGACCACAGGCCCAGCGACTGGTCTCAGGGAACTGATCCCCAGCTTGGATAGGGGGGTAGAAAAAAAAAAAAAAAAAAAAAAAAGAGTCTACAAATTAAACACCATCTTGTGTTGACAAGGGGTCATGTTCTGAGAAACATGGTCATCGTGTCATCAAGTGATCTTGGCTTTGTGTGAACTCCCTAGAGTGAATCACACAAGCACACATGTGACATGTCTGTCCACATGGTATGGCAAACCATTTGCTACTGACAGGAACACTGGTACCCACTGCTCCATGGCTTAGCTACAAACCAGTTGCTTTGTTTGCTTGTTTTGTGCAGAGCTAGGGATGGGACCCTCGGCCTCAGACATCTAGGCAATCACTCTGCCGCTGAGCCACACACCCCAGCTTGTATGTACCAACTATTCTGAATTGCTTGGGAAAAAGCTCTTGGTGGCAGGGGTGATAGTGCAGGCACACGGGAGGCTGAAAGAAGACAAGAGGGAATTCAAGGCCAACCTGGGCTACATCCTGAGACCCTGGCTCAAAAAAATTGGGAGGGATCCCCAATATCAGAGGTGACACTCAGATGTGGCCAACAAAGAAGGGAATGACCAAAGCCTGGGGACTGTGAGCTACAAGGTCATGGAACTGGGGCCTTGGTTTGTTACAGGGAAGAACAGCCCTGTGAGCAAAGGGCAAGAGGATTCCAGGCCCGGGCGAAGTGTAGGGACAGAGATGGGAAGACACATGTTGTCTGGGCCTGTGCCTACCACTCTGGGCTCAACAAGACAGACAGGGAAATGTGCTGAAATCACATGTGTGTCCAAGAGAGACCTTCTTGCAGGTGTGAAGAGGACAGCATCCTCACCAGCTCCCTGGAGCTGTGACAAAACACCTGAGGACAGTGACTTAATGGAGAGAAGGGTTCGAAGGGGTCAGTCTGCAGTCATTTGGACCATGGTGAGGGAGAGAAGCATGGCCGGGGCATGAGATGTGGCAACATGAAGATGGAGAAGGGGAAATGAGACCAAGGGGCTCTCCCTCCTGAAGTCAGCTAACAACAGTTACCACTGGGGACAAGGCCTTCAACACATGAACCTCTTGGGAACATTCCAGATCCACACTACGGCAGACTATGGGGAAGGAACCTATTGGAGAATATTATTTTAAGGTCTGTGACTTTTGCTTAACTCAGTGAAACTGTGATTCTTTGTCTGTCTAAAACACCCGATGGTCTAATAAAGAGCTGAATGGCCAATAGCAAGGCAGGAACAAGGATAGGCGAGGCTGGCAGGCAGAGAGAATAGATAGAAGAGAAATGAGGAAAAGAGAACAAGGGGATGAGGGCATCAGCAGCTAGCCACCCAGCCACCCATCCAGACACAGAGTAAGAAGGAAAGGAAAATATACAGAAGTAAGAAAGATAAAAGCCCAGAGGGATAAGGTAGATGGGTTAATTTGGATTTAAAAAAAAAAAAAAGCTGGCAAGAAACAAGCCAAGCTAAGGCCAGGTGTTCATAAGTAAAAATAAGCCTGTGTGTGTGATTTATTTGGGAGCTGGGTGGTGAGCCCCTCAAAAAGCCAAAAGAGTAAAGCAGTAAACAACAGGAACCAATTTCCCATTAAGTGAAATAAAGTTGCTTGATGTGACTCTGAGCCCATGATTCTGTGAACAGATTGCAGGAAATGCAACCCAGGAGGACAAGAGCATGCTGACTCGGCTAACCCCCATAGGCATGGAGTAGGGTAGGATGAGACATGAGACCCCTAGGACCCAGAAGGACCTGAGCATCCAACATGGCAGACACAAGCCATCTGTCACTGCTGGGTGAGCCCAAACTCTAGTGGAATGTAAAAAGCACATTAGAGCCCAAAGTAAGGGGTCTTTAAGGAAGCCAAATATCTCAGGAATGAATGCTGATTACATGTGGAAACGGTATCTCAGACACTGAGTCAGTTAAGTATACCACTAAGGGACTGGAGAGATGGCTCCTCAGTTGAGCACTGGTTGCTCTTTCGAGGACCTGGCTTCAGTTCCCAGCACCCATATGGCAACTCATAGTCATCTGTGGTTCCAGCCTTCTGTATCCCCAGTTACACACACATGTACACTGACAAAACATTTATATAGGATTCATTTCAAGCCAGACATGATGGCTCTTGCCTGGGAGGCTGAGAAAGAAAGACTGTCTTTAGTTTGAGGCTAGCCTGGGCTACATAGTGATTTTCTAAGCTAGTCTGAGCTACAGAGAGAAAGCCTATGTCAACATCTCTGCCCCCCCCCAAGATTAACGGCACTTGCTCTCCTCCCTTTCCCCTCCCTTTGGTTTCTGAGGCAACACACCAATATATATCCAGCCCAGATAGTCATGGAACTTTCTGTCCACCTGCCTTGGTCTCCCAATCACTGGGACAACAGGTGTGCACCCCCATGTCTAGTTCTTTTTATTCTTCTAATGTTGCACCTAAAAACTGCAAATGACATTGGTGGCCCAGTTCCATTTTTCCTGGATTCTGCCAATCAAATCCTCCTGCTTTTAAAAGCGGACAAATGAGCTGGGTACTGGTGGTGCACGCCTCTCATCCCAGCACTCAGGAGGCAGAGGCAGGTGGATCTCTGTGAGTTTGAGGCCAGCCTGGTCTACAGAGCAAGTTCCAGAACAGCCAGGGCTACACAAAGAAACCCTGTCTTGAAAAAAAAAAAAAGCAGACAAACAAAAACACACCTTTGAATACTAAAGCAGCTGTTGGGTCATTTTTACAAAATCCATAATGCTGTCTTTCCTTTCAAACAAATCCTGTTACCTCTCACATCACTGCTGAACTGGTCCCTCGTCTCCCTGTGTCCCTTGTCTATAAGTTGTACATGTCTGAGACCTAAAGCCATTCTGTGAGCTCCTGAGGCTGATGGAGGAGAGAACCAACCTCTCTCTCAGGGCCTCATGCTTCAAGTCCAGAAGGAGGGGGATGGAGTCCTTGAATGCCTTCATCTTTGCTTCCAAATGGAAGGACACGGGTAAGTTGCGTACATGGCGTGGCAGCTTGCGGAGGCCTTTGAGGAAGCCATCGATACCTTCCTGCAGATACTGGACATTCAGGTTGATCCAGAGGGTCTGGGACCACTCCTCTTTGGAAACCTAGAAACATTAGGTAAGTCGTCACCAATGGGGCCTGATGCAGATGCAAAGGAAGGGACAGGTTCAAGCTTTGCTCTGGCCTCCCTCAGCTCTCTCTTTAAAGGAACATCTAATGTAAAAGGGCGAGTGTTGCAGCCAGAAAGAAGGGACTGTGGCCTTTCTTAGTCCTTGATGCACCTGAGCACAAAGGTCCCTGTGCCCAACTTTGGGAGTGTCCGGGAGGGGCAGTACCTTTAGGGACTCATACAGGTTATAGATCATCCGGAGCCCTGTCATCTCCTTCTGCACCTTGATGAGCTCAGGGTACATGGTAATGGGGAGGTCAAACAGCTTCTCTGCGTTGGCCAGTTCTTGCCGGTTCTTCTCGTGTTTGGCCAGCTCCTTTTCAAAACTGCCTAAGAGTTCCATGCCTGCAAAAGAAGTGCAGAGATAAAGCAGAAAGGACAGTGTGAATGTGAGATGCCTCTAATTCCAGTGCTTGGGAGCCAGGGACGGGACGGGAGGGGGTGGGGGGGGTGCTGCAAGTTCAAGGCCAGCCTACATAGTAACTTCCCAGCCAATCAGGCCTATGATCTGAGCAGCATGTCTAAAACGTGTGTGTATACAAGATTGAGGGCCAACAAGATGGCCTAGTGGGTAAAGATCCTTGCTGCTAAGATGGATGGTCTAAGTTCAATCCCCAGGAACCACATGGTGGAAGGAAAGAAGTGTGTCTTGTGGGATGTTCTTTGACCTCCACACATGCAGGAGACACACAAGCAAGTACACACACACACACACACACACACACACACCTCCACACATGCAGGAGACACACAAGCAAGTACACACACACACACACACTCTCTCTCTCTCTCTCTCTCTCAAATTATATATGTAAATAATTTGAAATGTTAAATAAAAACTAAATAAGTTTAAGAAATCAGCTATTAATTATAATTTCGTGCACAAAAGCTATGGGGGTGGTAAATTTAAATTCAGCAGGCTTTATCTTGCCCCAGAAACCAAAAGGCCATTTGCCCTTCAAGCCCTTCCAGTTAGAATGTTAACCCTTTACATCCAGAGCATGCTGCAAGTGAGGCTATTGAAGGGACACCCATATTGTCCCCGATCACAGTCAGTGTCATCTGCCCTCTGCTGCCCTTGAGATTTTCCTCATCAGCTTGACAATGGCCTTCACACTCCAACTTCCAAGTCTGTTCTTGGCCCCAGTGCCCCATGGCTGTTATCATCCTACACTACTTACTGTGTGTTCCACCACACCCCCACCTCAAGCCTTGCCCTTCTCCTACTGCTCTTGGTGATTCCCAAGATCTGACTGCTCAATCAGAAGCCCTAGCCAGCTGTGTCTAAGCAGTCTCTCCATACTCTTTTAGAACAGTGGTTCTCCTGGCGCAGCAGGGCACAGGCAGTGGTAGTAAATGCCTTTGATCCCAGCACTTGCAATGCAGAGGCAGGTGGGATATTTGAATTTAAGACCAGCCTGGTCGCCGGGCATTGGTGGCGCACGCCTTTAATCCCAGCACTAGGGAGGCAGAGGCAGGTGGATCTCTGTGAGTTTGAGGCCAGCCTGGCCTCCAGAGCGAGTGCCAGGATAGGCTCCAAAGCAACCAAGGCTACACAGAGAACCCCTGACTTGAAAACAAAACAAAACAAAACAGTGGTTCTCAATCTGTGAGTCATGACCTTTACCTAAGACCATTGGAAAACACAGATATTTACATTACGATTCATAACAGTAGCAAAATTACAGCTATGAAGTCGCAATGAAATAATGTTATGTTTGGGGATCACCTCAACATGGGGACCTGTAATAAAGGATCCCAGCACTAGGAAGATTGAGAACCATTGCTCTAGACTAAGAGTGGTCTTTTCTCTCTGTCACCCTTTTGGCTGGTGACATCTGAAGGACAAGTGCTGTGTTTTGCAGACAAAGTATCCCCCTATAGGCTCTGTGGTGGAGGCTTGGTCTCCAGATGGTGGATCCAACACTGAAGGGTGACCAGATCATGACAGAGCTGAGATAACTGATGATCCATCAAGGGACTCAGATTTGAGGCTGTCACTGGAAAGTGGTGAAAACTAGGAAGTGAGACCTGGTTGGAGGGGATGATGGCTTAGGGACATGCTTCTGAAGAGCCTGTCTGCACCCATCCTCACACTCTCTACTTCCTGGCGGCTGAGTAGTCTCCTGTAGTCTCCTCTGTTGTGGGATGTTCTACACTATATGAAGCTGTATTGCTGTGACTGGTGTAATAAAAAGCTGAGCCACCAACAGCTAGGCAGAAGGTATAAGCAGAGAAAGGAAGAGGAGAAGGAGAATTTAAGCCCACAGGAGCCTCCAGAAGACATGGAGAAGAAACAGGAGGTACAAGATAGAAGAGAGGTAGCACACGTGACTGAACATAAGTTAATATAAACAGGTTAATTTAAGTTATAAGAGTTAATAACAAACCTAAGCTACAGGCCCAGCTTTCATAATTAATAAGAAGTCTCCGTTTCATTATTTGGGAGCTGGCTGGTGGGACAGAAAAAGACTCCTCAGCTACAGTTTACCCCACTGGAAGTTCCACATGACCAGAGTGAACTGAGGCCTCCAAAATTGTGAGCCAGAACAGTTGTTGTTCTTTTTAAACTGTTTCTTTCAGATATGTGTCATAATGACAGAAATCTGGCAGACACTGAGGGGAAACAGCATGGCTTGGTCCAGGGTCTAAGTTTGAAGAATGAATTCAAGGGGAGAGAGCAGTAAAGGGTGTGTGTGTGTGTGTGTGTGTGTGTGTGTGTGTGTGTGTGTGGGTGTGTGTGTGGGTGTGGGGGGG